ACACACTCACTACTAACTACAGCTATGGCAGCTATGGCTGCCTCTAACCTATCGCTATGCTAACTCCTCTCTTGCCCACTGCGTCCTCCGGGCTCATCTGCAGACCTCCTTGCACAAGTCGCTGTGGCAGCGCTTCCRCATGGCTCACGCAGGAATGAATGAATGGCTGGGCGCTGCCTCTTGATTTATACTTCAGAAACTCGTTGGTCTGCCCTTTGCCATCGGCCCTTGGTGCTCACAGTCCCCGTGTGGTCCTTGCTGGACCGGACTGGGACTGACTGGACCTTCCGCTGACTGACTGTGGACTCACCGCTATCCTACCGACGTTGAACTGCTGTTGCACTGCGGTTTAGTCCACCACTTGCCTCACCACTTGCCCACTTGCCCACTTGCCTACCTTCTAGAAGGTCTACAGCTAAGCTTCCGGAACTCACTAAGACTCCTACGCTATAGACCTACAGATCGAACCCCTGCTGCCTATGGACCTACGRCAGGCCTACCAACTGCCTAYGAATACACAGGTCACAGGTTCAATTCCCGGGGTCTACACAGATGCTGTACATGGGTAGGGTGAGGTCTAGGGATCGAACCCTGGGTACTGCATCCGCTAGTGCTAAAAGGTGAAAACCGTTTCACCAGCAAGATATCCAAACCCCCACAAATAGCTGAGATTGCTAGGACTTGGATAATCTACGAAATGATTGTTGAATGTAGAAAATAAAGGTTGTTTAAGAATCGGTAGTTGTCTTGCCATAAATACTCAATTGTTGTTTGTATGGTTTAGTCAAACGGTTGAAAAACAAAAACACAATTCTGAGCTAAGACATTGAGGCCGTTGGTCGGTCGTGTTATCTCATTGGAGTATAGCCAAGCGGAAAGGCATTGTTTGTTTATACCAACATGAAAAGGTTCGAAATTAGAATCCTTTTACTCCAGCAATCCATTAATTTGAAAGCTGACGTATTAAACTTCAGAAACCTCCAAAAGAAGCCAAAACAAAACCTATCCAAATCCAAAAATGGAAAGGTAACTTCATTATGATAGTATACCAACCAGTTTCAAAACTTCCAGTTCCTATCATTCTATCAATGCGATTGAAAATGTTAAAACTATTTTAGAAGAAAGAAAAGTCAGAATCTCTGGAACCACCCAATTAGTCCCATCCATTATATCAAAGAGTCATCAAGAAACCTTAGATCTTCGGTGGATTCTTAAAGGCGCTTTGACCAAAAAAACACAAGTTCAGCTCAATCTTTATCTGCTGAAATACAGGATGCTTCGAAAAAACAAGGATTTGCTAGAAAAAAAAGAGATGATCTTCATAAATTAGCTGAATCAAATTGTAGCTTTTCTCATTATCGTTGGTGGTAAGAAATTACTAAGAATGTCCATATAGAAATCACCACCAACCAAGCCCGAGTACGCGCAGCCTTTATGACATCTAGTTGCTGCGCGTATTTACTTTATTAGTTTCGTCTGCACTCAAAACTTACAGGCACAGACTTAGTGCCATTTGATGAGTAACCAAAATAGAGGAGAAGGATATAAGGAAAAAAAAGTGATAAAAACTTAAAAAGGAAAGGAATAGCAAGCAATAAAGATTGGTTTATAGAAAATCAGAAAAAATCCATGTTTTAGGTGTTTTAAAATACACGACTTTCACAATACGATTTGATTTGACTTTCGAAAAATCCATATATACCCTTCAAATTCACAATCCCATTGATTGAAAAGAATCACAGACTTTTTGGCTTTCTGAGCATTTTTTCATGTTCATTTAAAGCACTAGTACCTTTGTCGGTTCGGAAATAGTGGGCCTCCGACCTTTCCGAAGGCTGAAACGAAACGACGGCCGCTGATCAGATTTATCAACGGCAGCCATTGTCTGAAACGGTTTCACCCAGTTTATCCGACAGATGCAGACATCGGGACTCAATCCCTAGACCTGCCCCGTAACCCTGTACATTGACCCTGTAACCCTGTGTGAGATTTGGACCCATGACCTGTCCCTGAACTCCTTAGGTTAGTTGGTCTCCGTGTTAGTCGCTAGGTCTTGACCTGTAGACCTTCGTATTGGCAGTTTAGTGTCTTACCGTTCAGTCTAGTCTAGGTCCTTCCAGAAGGCAGCTGGTCGTAGCTGAGTCAGCAAGTGGGAAGTAGCCCTAAGGCGTAGCTGAGTCAGCAAGTGGGAAGTAGCCCTAAGGCGTAGCTGAGTCAGCAAGTGGGAAGTAGCCTAAGCCAGCTAGGGGTTTCTAGAAGCCGTTGGTTGACTCTTCAGGACCGTAAAGATCAGTCAGTAAGTCCACCTAGTCTAGTCAGCAGTCCAGTAGTCCTACCTAGTCCAGTCAGCAGTCTCCAGTCCCAGTCCTACCTAGTCTAGTCAGCAAGTACCAGGTGGGGCTGCACACTTTTGGGCCTGGGACCGGTGGCAGGCCAAACCACCCACGAAACAGTATAAACAAAGAGGCAGTGCTCAGCCATTCATTCATTCGCCTGTGAGCCATGCGGAGGCGTTGCAGAAGCGACTTGTGCGGTGGAGGTCTGCAGGTGCCTGAAGCTGAACCGGGCTGAGGAAGACAACGGCAGCCATAGCAGAGGGGAGGAAGACGACGGCAGAGAGGAGGAAGACGACGGCGGCCATAGCCGCCAAGCTGTTGACATCAACGGAGCGTACAGTGAGTGTGTCTGTAGTGCGTGGACATTCAGGGTAGATCCTAGTGCGTGTGTGCAGGAGGGAGAGTGACGCTGATGGTGCAGACAGTGTTCGGTTGGGACTTCAGACAGTGATCAGCGGCCATAGCCGCAAGTTGTAACAGTTAACTTGAGCTGAGTTCCGACCAGAGGCCATATCTCTGAGTTTTCTGTGTGGGCGCATGTTGCCATCGCAAGTTCAGTGTTGATCATGAGTTCGTGAAGTGGATTGATCCATTGGCTCATTCATGTATGCATGTTGCAAGCGATTCAAGACAAGTCTGATTTCATGTCGGGCCCGGCCTCCTAAAAGTTCGGGACTAGGCCAAAACTTCTCGAAACCGGACGGCAAAGGTACTAGTGGCTTGAGATAAATAACAGATGCATATATGAACAACTAATTGCCTTCCAAGCAGGGGATATGGGTTCGGTTCCCGTTATCCGCAATTGCGATTGATGAAAAAAAAACTGAGATAAATAAAATGCGCGTATCGAAATTTAAAACTTGTCGACAAATCTTGGAAAATGTTTGGCAAACAAGAAAAACAAACAAGGCCGGTGAATTTTCACAAAAATTACAAGTCCATTTTTTATGGTATCTGCCTGTTCAAAACGTAGCAAGTCAAAGACAATGTAACCAGCACAGTATCTTCTCTGATTTGAGAAAGGTACCATATCTTTTTTTTTCCAAAAGCAGCATCCTTGCTAGGAGAGGTGATGAGAGCACCCCCTCCTAGCAAGAGACCTGGATGCTCCAATCTATTGGTGGGGAGCAGATCTGCTGGAAAATGGGTCCAGCTTCCACTGCATATCTGAAGTCCTGCCAGCATTGATTGCCCTGTTACCGGGGATTAACTGTGCAGGAATACGGAAGAATGTGGCTTGAGAATAGCAAGCTTTTGGGCATGAAACCGCCTCTTCGGCCTGTACCAGACCGCCAGATAACACTCATTTCCCTAGGGACTCCACTTGGTTTTCTGAATAATGGCCTCCCTGTCCTGCCACCAACAACAGGTATGTCAGATAACACTCGAGGCTGGACCGCATGAGGTTTCAAAATTTTGAAACCCATTGATACTCTCTCTGTAGTGCTCGGCTGGGCCTCTTGGGTGGGTTTCCCATCCGTTGCAGCCATTCCATCGCGGACTGCTGTTGCCGTAAGGGAGGAGCTGCCGCCGTGCTGAAGCGCCGCCATCACGCTCTTGGAAGGAGGAGTGTCGTTGTGCTGCCGTTTGAGGGAGGAGCCACCGTCAACCGGTGAGTATCACGGGCCTTGACCTCCCCTTCCTCCTCCTCACTTCCTCCTCTGCATGCTCCTCCTCCTCCTGCCCGTGCTCTTCCTCGTCCCCTTCCTCGTCCTCTCTCCTTGTTCTCCTCCGACGACTGTCTTGACCTCGATCTCTCTGCCTCGTCTCATACTCGTCTCCTTCATCTCTCTCCCATATCGCCATCGCCTCCTCCTACTCAGCCTACGAATTGACAATGCATTCTGTTGACGTCAGCAGCAAGAACCAAAGTACATGAAAATGGAGCTGCCTCCATCTCTCCTCCTCCTCCTTCCCATTGTCCTCGCCATCCTCGTCACCTCCTCCTCCTCCTCCTCCCACATAGCCTGAGTAAAGGTAGGCAGTAATGAGAATGAGGCCGTGTACATAGGAGATACCTTTCTCTAATGCTGTACACCTCGCAACCATTGTTTTTTTTCAACGGACACCTCTCACAAGGCTAGCCCGTCAGAGGATCTAACAAGTAAGGCTGATAGCAGCATGGATAAGCCCGTCAGTGGAAAAGCGTTAATGTAAGGAAGGATCGGTATCGCTGGGGTAATGATTGGAAATTAGGCATGCAGGTTTCTATTCCACGGTGATTTTTTTAGATCAATAATCAACAGACGTAATCACAATTCGCTGGGGCTGCCTGGAACCCTACCCAGGGGTCATGCCCGGCCGGGCACTTGGGTGTGTACCCGGGCGCCCGGAAAAACAGCCTAGTTATTATTATCTTTTTTTTTAATTGTCCACTTGATTTGAAGGCAGACTTTCAAAGCGACTACTGGCAATTGCTTATTCTTATTATGATTTTTTAAATTTCGTCCTGTTTGCCCAGCCGTGTTGAAAGGGGGTGGTGGTTGTGGAGTCTGCGGCAGGAGGGGGCAGGACACAGTGCGGTGTGGGTGAATTGGGGATGCAACGGGGAATATGACTGATTTGGTGAAACATGTATGGAAAGTTCCATTTGTAGATGCTTGTCTGTTGAAAAAGCATTCGCGTGTGGCTCACCAGAGTTGGAAAATTTGGTCATGCAGATCTCGTATTCTGCACGGTGCGGGACTCGGAGCACACGGCCTCGGACATTTCCGCACCTGCACAGGCACCCCCCGCACGGACCTGGTCTGTGCGGGTGCAAGCTGTGCGGAGATCGGGCACCTCCCGCGCGTCGCACTCGGCACCGCACCGCACAAATGTGCGGCTCGTGCGGTTGCAAGTATGGTTTTAATTGATATTGTGAAGTTGATTATCCTTCTCGAAAAGATAGATTTGAAGTGGACAGGTTGTATGTACGACTTCGCTCTCCAGCCTGAAAGAGTGGTTTAACCCCCTGCCACCTCCTTCCCTCTCCCCCTTCCCCCATCTCTCTCTCTCTCTCTCTCAATTACGACATGAATAGTCGACCGCTCTCTCTCTCTCGCTCGCTCTCTTCTTCTCTCTCTTCAGTCTTCTGTGTTTTTGTGCATGCCTTTATGTATGTACGTGCTCGGCACTCATCGTGTACATAGAATGTCAACTGACCAGATACATTCGGACTGATCAAACGTTTTGAATGTATTGCCAGGTTCAGATACATTCAGTATGTTGTGCAGTGTAGCAAAGCCCTCTGTTGGGTCCCTTTGCTGCAGGTTGCACCAGGCCAATTTCTTTTCGGCCCGCTGCTGTTTACTGTTCTACATCGAGGAACTTTTGTGCCGCCTGTTTTGAGCCCGCTACAAAACATAAGTGCGCTCTGAATAAAAACCAGGAATGGCTAAACATCGCAGGGCACAAAAACGAAACAAATCACAAAGCATTCTGAAAAAACTGACATTTGCTGACATGCAGACCCAGGCCGTAACATACGCCTAAATGTTTACTGAATGACCAATTATTCAATATCTGAGAATGCTAATCAAGTAACAGTGTGACATCAGGAAAACAGCTCTGTGTCAACAATACAGAGAGGTGAAATGTGACTGTGTGTTAACAATATAGAGGGGTGAAACTGGGATCTCAGTGCATGCAGGCCGATTGGGGATTTCAGCGTACAAGGGTAAGAATAACCACCTCTGTGGCTTTCTGTTTTTCATCTCCCCTCCACCTCATGTGATTGAAACTCACAGCTGAAAATCACATAAACATCTGACACTATTGGACTGTGACTGACTCCTCTCCATTCGCTTAAACCGCCAGTACACCGCCCCAGCCTTGTGGACTGGCTCAGGGCTACAGGAACACAATGGCTGGAGGCGCCAGCCAAAAAAGTAGAGAAGTGCGCTGCTGAAGCTTCGGAAAGCTTGGCGTGCAGTGGAAGGCCGCCGGCCCGGGTGTACTGATGGTTTAAAGCCTTCAGGAAGTGCAGAATGATTATGCAGCCAAGCTGCAAACATTGCCACATTCTACATATGACATGAGGTGAGGCATAGGCTACAGCAGGACTTGCAAACATTGCCACATTCTACACAAAACATAGGCTACAGCAGGAATGTTGTCAATCAAGAAACAATCCTCGTGCTCACATCGCTTACGGTCATCTGCTGAAAGCTGGGACATTGAAACTGCTGTCCCAGACATACCAAATAGAAAGAATCCTAAACGTGAATGGAGACTGCTGGAGCTCCTTACCTGAGATGCAGGTCACTACATCCTTGTGCTGGCAAATGCTCTGAACCATTTTCCCATCTTCAATGGATATGCACTTGAAACTGTTGTCCCAGTGCCCACATGTCAGCAACAGCGCAGAGGAGCCAACTCTCAATGTGTCGAAGTAACTAGATGAAACATTGACCTCCCCAAATGGAGTTCCAATCTTTCTTGGTGGAGACAACTCTGGGCCCACACTGAAGAAAATGTCCTGCAATGCAGAGATTGTACAACGGAAGAGGACAACAAAGTTGTTTAGCAGCAAAGACTCGAAGTAAGTGACTGTGAGGCACTACTCTATCATACATTCCAACTTCCATGACAATACATGACATGAAAAGCTGAATTCATACGTTCATTCACATAGGCGGTATCATGCACTGCGAGTGACAAAAACCTCAAACAGAGAAGGGATATGATCGTATCCAGTGTTGCACGCCCCGACCGTCCGTGACCATTGACTGGCCGGCTGTCGGCACCTACCGATCGGGGGTCGTCGGCACCCAGCCAAAAAAAAGAAAAGAAAAAAAAAAAGGGGTCCAGAACCCCTAATAACCCCACGAACACCCCCATACCCACCCCAAATATCCCCATACACCCCCCCAACACCCACAAACCGCCCCCCAACAATACCCCATATACCACCCCTATACCCCTCTATACCCCCCCCCATCCCCAAGAGTTTCTCAGCGGATTTGGGCTGTACTCAGCAGGCGCAGTACAGCTTCCAACTCAGATCTGAAAAACAAATAGTGGACGGTTGTTTTCTGACTGGTCGGCAGACCGCCGACCGATCGACCCTACTGGTCGGCTGCAATACGGTCGGCGGTCCGGGTTGGCGGTCGGCAGGGATGCAACCATGATCGTATCCCGAAAATTGACATTACTTCTCTGCAAATTGAAACCTTCAAAAATATCTACTTTCCTCCGTAAAACTCATTAAGGGATCAATGGTTGAAGAATGTAATTCCTCCAACTCAATCCGGTATATCCAGTCCTATGTGGCACTGCCGGCCGCAGATCCTGCGGCCTCGGCCGCAGCCGAGGAGGCCTGCCACGGGCCCGCGGCCGAGGCCGCGCCAGGCCCAGGCAGGGGCGCACACGGGAAAATGGCACACGCGCGCGGCCTGCGCACGTCGGCCGCTATCGCCCTGTAAAGAAAAAACAAACAAACAAAAAAAATTTAGGGGGGGTGGTTTTTGGTGTGTGACAAAAAAAAAGAAAAAAAAGAAAAATTAAAAAAAATAAATATTGATTGATTGATTGTTCTTTTTATCGATTGATTGATTGATTGATTGATTGATTGATTGGTTGGGGTGAGGTCCTCCCTCCCCTCCCCCCGGCACACACACACACACACACACACACACACACACACACACACACACACACACACACACACACA